TGACAGCTGGAGCAGCGTGGGCCCGGGTGATGAATAAATAAATGCCCAGCATTGTGGCAGCTCCAGCCTCCGACGCCCAGGCTGGTTCTCCCGTCGTCGTAATGGATCGGACGCTCGCCAAGAAATCCGCGGGAGGGAGACAGCATTCATAAGACATGAGCCTGCGACTCATTCGGTAGCTGCTGTTGTGAAAGGAAGGCGCGAGGAGAAGAGAAATGTAGCGACAGATACGGCAACACCGACATGACACGCGGTGGGATGTGGCCACGTGGGTCGATTTCCTTTTCACGCTCCACTGACCATCGGAGACGCCGGGACACAGCGGGCGCGGGGGTTCGAATAACCTCACGCCAGAGAGATTGCTCTTGACCAGATGCCTTCTGGGTTCCAATCCGGCGGTTATTGTCCTTCTGGACGGGGTTCCAGGTCGTCAGGTGCGTCCGGACAAGGGTCGTGACTCGCCTCTGCAGGGGAATAAAACCGCCATTCGTGGAGCCTCGTGTGTACCAGGCCCAGCTGTGCAGACAGCATCCCGCTGTCCCCACAGGCAAAGGCAGCCTCCCCCTGCGGGGACCCTTGCCCCGAGCTGCCTCCTTCCTGCCACCTCGGGTGGTGCAAAGAGCACGCGCTGGGCTTGAACCTTGAACCTGGAGCGGCCCCTTCCCGGCGGGCGGAGCTGGGAAAAGGAACTCAACGTCTCTTTCTGGGAAAACAGGGGTGATCACTGTGCCCGCTCCCTTCACAGGGGTGCATGAGGAGGAAAGGGAGGATGCACGCTCAGCTACGTGCACCTGGCAGGCTTCTCCTGTCCCAGGGTTCCCCCCTCGAGCCTAGGCGCTCATTCGCTTTAACCAACATCTCGCCGGCTGCGGCCCCTTTAAGACGGCCTTGGAGGACCCAGTTTCAAAGCCGCGGGGGACCCTCTAGCTGCCACCTCGATGGTAAGTCGTCACTTCCGGCCGGAAGTGCGCGTGTTCCCGGGTTTCGGCGCGAGGGTGGGAGTATGTGGAGGCGCGTGCTCGCTCGTCTCCGTCCTGCTCGCGGCCCGGGACTTCAGGGACGGCTCCCCTCATAGCACCGGGGACTTGGACCGAGGAGGCCGAGGGAACTGGGCGGACGAAGGGCCCCCAAGTTGGAGGTGAGCGGTTGCAGGAGGCGCCACAGACGCCGGCAAAGCCTCCGGTCCCCGGCTGGGCGGCCCGCGCCGTTTCGGGGAGCGTGTAAACCCCGAATGAATGGGACCCTCCTTGACTCTCTTTCCCCAGGGTGTTCTCGGAAAATGAGGAGTCGCCAGCCCCGGCGGCTGGGGGAAGAAGGCGTGCGACGGCTGCCTCCTGCTCCTCGTGATGAGAACTTCCGGAGTGAGCGCGGTGTGGGGGATGGACGGGGTGTCGGTGGGCCCGGGACGGGGTGTCGGCAGGCGCGTGGTCTGGGGAAAGGCTCCTGTGTTGCTGAACCTGCCCCGTTGCGGGTGCAGCCTCGTACCTGGCAGCCCTACCCTGACCTAAAGCAAATTCCCGGGAGGAGTTCTTCCCGGGTTTTGAATTTGCAGTAACAGGTGTGAACATTCTAGAAGCAGTTTGATGATCATGTATGATACTGCAAACAAGACCTGCTGTGGTTATTAGTAACCAGAGAGCGGGTCGTTTTCAAAAACCTGTCCACAGTGTCGGTTCAATAAATATTTACTGTTACTTTGGCCGGGCACCGCCCTAATGGTTGGGGGCACCGGCAAACGAAACAGCCCTGGCCCTTGTTCTCAGGGCCTCCAGCCCAGTCGGAGAGACGAGATGACCGCACTGAAGAGGGTGAGGGGGCTGCTCGGAAGGGAAGCAGGGTTTTCCAGGAGAACGCATATCCCCAGGAGCCTGAAGGAGGCTGGAAGGCATTCCTGAGGATGGGACCCTCCAGCTAGACTCTGAAGGATGAGCAGGAGTTCGGTGGGCAGGCCAGGGGGCGGCATGTGCAAAGGCCCCGTGGTCTAGCAAGCGTGGCCGGTGGATGAACTGGAAGAAGGCCATGGTAGCCGAGAAAGCAAGGCGGGGAACGGGGTGGAACAAGCCGAGAAGGTGGGGAAGGGCCGGACCACACGGCCTGTGGCTCACGGGAGCATTGGGGTCTTTCCTAAGAATGTGGGGGTCGTCATGGGTTTTAAACATGGGTGATGTGCTGAAGTCTGTAATTTCAGAAGCACACTACTTACTTGCAGAACAACACTGACCACTCTGCAGTGATGGGCGTGGTCCGTATCCTCCCCGGCCGGCAGAGCGGCCACAGCCGCATGTGGCAGTTGAGCACCTGCAGCGAGGCTGGTGCCACTGAGGAACTGGCTTTGAAAATGGAGCAGCCGCTGCTGGACAGTGCGGGGCTGGAGTGTGTGTATTGGAGGGCGTGGGGACACCCGTCCGGGAATCAGGGGGTTGTCATGGGTTTTAAACATGGGTGATGTGCTGAAGTCTGTAATTTCAGAAGCACACTACTTGCAGAACAACACAGACCACTTTGCAGTGATGGACACAGTCCGTATCCTCACCGGCCGGCAGAGCGGCCACAAGCCGCATGTGGCCGTTGAGCACCTGCAGCGAGGCTGGTGCCGCTGAGGAACTGGCTTTGAAAATGGAGCAGCCGCTGCTGGACAGTGTGTGTATTGGAGGGCGTGGTGACACCCGTCCGGGAATCGTGACACGGGTGCCCTTCTCCATCTCCTGCTCCTCCTCCTCCTCCTCCCTGGGGAAGGCCGTGTTGACTTCTCCTGAGGATCCCACTTGGAGTGACTGCTGTGGACCCGCGAGTTTATTTTCCTGGCTGTCGGTCAGCCTGCTCCTTGGGAAGCGGCATTCTCTCTCCCGTCTTTGCCTGGTTTGTTGCCAGCACAGAGGGCGTGACATCTTCAGCACCCACAGTGGTCAGGGCGCTGTGTCTGAGCCAGGCGGGTGGGGGGAAGGAGAGTGGTCCCTGGTGGCAAGGGCTTAGATCTGGAGAGGCGGGCGGCAGTGAGTGCTGGGACATGGGGAAGGGGGCCCGTCAGGGTGTGGCCCTGTAAAAGCTGTTTGCAGCTGATGAAACTTGACAAAAGGCAGGAAGCACGGAAGTGCTTGAGAGGATGTGGGGAGCTCAGGAGCTGGTATGGGTGGAGGGAGAGTTCAGATCTTGGAGGGCACTCCATGGCACTGAGTTGTAGCTTCTCTGCATGCTGGCTGCTAACGTAGAATGGAAACTGACGAAGCGCTCTCTATGCAGGTGAGCTTCCGGGAAGACGTGTGTGCTGCGCGGGAACCTGCTGATTGATTACACTTCTGCCTGCTTCTCGGGGCCTGAAATGTCGTTCGTTTTAGAACCTGCCAGGTCTGCTGGGTTGAATCGCTGACCCGCACAAGACCCCGTTTTGCATGGATGTGAATAAATGGAGTCAGACTCCAAGGAGACTTTCCGCACACTGTTTTCTGTGCCCAGTGACGTGTGTCTGTGCGTCGCCTCTGCTTCTGAGATGCGTGGATGGCAGCACCGTTCCCCAGGAAGGTGGCTCACAGAGCCACTTACACAGGAGGTGTGAGCGCTGGGGGCCTGTCACCCTTGGGAGCATGAACTGTCCAGAAATGACCATCGCCTCGCTGAGCTGATGGGCAGGGGTGGCTGGTGCGGGTCAGGGTGGTGGTCACCTTGTTCAGAGGAGCCACGTCCCTGTTTACCTTGATTTCTTCGGTAAATGGGCCAACAGTCATGATGGTGACTCCTGCCAGGCGGGCCTGGCGAGGGTGCGACATGAGCAGGCCCAGTGACCCCTCGGGAGCACTTCGGACGCGTGCGTGACCATCGCTCACCGTCAGTTACACTCGCCTGGGATTTCAGCGCGTTGCCAGCTCTGATGGTCCAGGTGCTGTGGGAGGGTTCGGGGTCTGGGCACTGCCTGCTCCCAAGTGGGGGTGTCTGTGGGCTCTTGGCCTTTCACCCTCATAGTGTTCACGTTTGGGCCACTGACTACTTACTTGTCTTTCGAGGGAGAAAGTGTAATGACTGCCTGTCACACATTGTGTTAGATGGGGCGGATACTGGGTAATTGGTACATGACTGGTATTTCTGGAATAAATGTGGATGCCCGGTCGCTGCCTCTCGAGTGCAGATGTCGCTTCCTCACCGTGGCTGCGGGGCCGCCTGGCCTGTCTGGCCTGGTGTCAGCCTGGCCCAGCAGCTGGGGGCCCCGCGTCTGCAGTCTCGGGTGGGGAGCGGGTCAGCCTTTGGTTTGGCAGGTTAATCAGAAGCGTTAGGTCCTGATCAGCTTCCCCTGAGCTGTGCCTGGTATTTCTGCTGTGACACGGTGCATAGGAAGGCGGGGTCCTTCGCCTGCCTCTGCTTTCTCACTTGCTGGGACACTGATCGACCGAGGAGGGTGTGAGTATCCCCATTGGTCGGTCTGGGACTTAGGGTGGAAGAGCCTGCAGAGAAGAGGGAGGTGAGGACGAGGAGTGACTATCCCACGCAGGGGACAAGGGGACACGGAAGGCCTGGGGAGCAGTTACAGCAAGTCAAGGTCCGGCACTTCTCTCTCTGTCCACCAGAGGGCGCAGCCTCACACCAGACTGTTCCCTTTTGTAACTCGATACAGCTTTTTGGGTTTTCTTTTGTAATTTAGCCAGGACCTTATTTCACTGGAAAGTTATGTAGGAAGTTCATCTGCAGGGTTGGGATCTCTCTTTGGAATCTGCCAGGGTGCCCAGTGGCATACAGTGCCCGGGAGTGTTAGGATGTCACGACATGGACCCCCAACCAGACGCGGTCACGGGACGTGGCTGGGCCCGTGGCACTTGGGGATGAGAGCGCGTTCCAATGTGGCTTTCGGTGGAGATTCTCTGCGGGTGACGACGGCCGTGTCACTCAGCACAGCCTGAGGAAGAGGGTGGGTGCAGTGCATACCAGTATCTGAAGTCCCGGCCAGCGTGTCGGGTGTAAAGGGGCTTACGGGCGGCCAGAGCATTGCTCAGACTTGGAATCGAAAGCTACTTGTCAAGACCGAACGCAGGTTGTTGGAGCCGGTGCAGCTTAATGGCTGGCTGTCCCCGTCAGAAAGTGCTTTGACTTGGAGAAGGAGGCTACGGCTCTGCAAGTGCAATCCCCATGCAGAGCTGAATGTTCTCTGGCTCCCAAGCCTGGAGACAGCTTTCTGATGGACTAGACGTGTCGGATTGCGCACTCGCCGCCGGCCACCTTGGGCTTCCCTTCCCGTGAGGGGAGATGAGACGCCGAGGGCTTTGGGAACAAGGAATCCACGGGGCGGGGGAAGGGGGGGTAGGATGGTCAGGAAAGGCCCCAACCCTCAGGTCAGGGGGTAAGTCCTGTGACAGCCTGGAAGCGTATTCAAGGTCGAGGGACAGCCAGGGCACAGGTCGCCAGTCCAGCCAATACAGAGGAGCGTGAACATGAGGGGTTATGAGGAGGCTGGGAGGAGACGGGACCAGGTCTTGCAGGGCTTGCACAAAAGTTTGGCTTTTACAATGAGTAGCATCAGTAGCCATTTTCTCAGTTTGGCTTTTACAATGAGTAGCATCAGTAGCCCATTTTCTCATCTCTTAGGGACCTTTTTCCCCAGCGGCAGGCTGCGTTACAAGTATTTCCTGTCTGAGCTGGCACATCTGCCCATTGAGCCGACCCCCGGTCTGCAGAGGGAGCGCTCTTCCCTGGCAGCTGTAGAGGCTTGCTCTTGGCTCTACTGAATCCTGACGGGGCGAGTGACAGGGACAAACAGCGTTTGGATGTGACAGGTAAGTTCCTGCAGCCAACCTGTGCCTTCACCTCGTCGGGGAAGCCAGAGAGGCCTGCACGTGGCTGCTGCCTCCGAGGGGCAGGGACCCGCCCCTTGGTGCCAGGCTCGCCTCCCCATGAAGCCACCACCTGTATTCCTGCCCGTTTGCACCTCGGAGAACAGCTTGCTTGCTGTTCCAACAAAGAGTCGGTGAGTTTTATTTAAATCACGTAAACTGCTATCCAGAGGGCGACCCAAGGGCGTTCTCCTGTCATCCTTACAAGCTAGGGGCCTGTTTGCTTTCACATGGTTGCACATAACGAATGCATTTAACACAGTTACTCGTCCTAACGCTTTTCACATGAATTATGCAGCTACAGCAGAACACTGTTCTTTCATCGCAAATTTAATTAGCGTGGAGCCGCATGAGCTGTCGGAGGGTCACATGTCTTCCGGGCCGGCCCGTCCACTGTGCGGTGTGGTGGTTCGCAACACCGCTTCAGAAGGGCAGCCGCCCTCAGCAGGACATGGAGAATATCGCGTGGAATTAAAATAAGACTCTACCTCCTTTGCACCCCAAATTCCTTTGCACCCAAATTCCACGACTTGGGTTTTTGATACTGACCTGCCTGAGGCTGGCTGTCCCCAGCGGGTGCATTTCTTTAAGTCAAACCGACACGTGTGCCCACGTGAGTTATGGCCAAAGCTCCTGCAAATGGCCTTCACTAATGTGCTGTCTTTGTTCCAAATTCCTTCAGCCCTTTGAAGGTTAACGAGGGAGATAAAAAGAAGATATTAAGTCAAAATGAAATAAAGTGTGCACTTCCTCTGGTCATTTGAACTATGTGTAACACTGCTTGGTGTTGGACTATAATTTTTCCCCTGAAGTAATAATAATGCGCTATTGTTATTATCGTGGGATCAGAGGCTGAGAGGGAGCAGCCCCTGCC